CTTGTTTCCATGGGATATAATAATGAAAGGGAGAAACATGGTTCATGCCCTCAGGGAATTTTCCTAACTAGCTAGGGGACCCTAACAAAGGTTTTTTTTTACCCCCGTTAATTAGTTGGGTCCTCAGTTTCCCCATCTGTCAAATAGAGGCCTTTCTCACGGAGCTTCCAGAGGGTACATGGATGGTAACACACAGCATGAAGACACAGGCACCGACACCTTTGTTAAGTAGAGGGCATTCTGTGCTCTATGCTCGGACATCTTGTTACTGAACGACTGATAAGCCTGTGTTCTGGCTCAGGAGGGTTTAGCAGCCCAGGGGCACTTGGGTGGCTCAACCAATTGAGCACCCAACTCCAGCTCAGGTCATGATCTTGCAGTTCATGAGTCCAAGCCCCGCGTCAGGCTCTCTAACTATCAGTGCAGAGCTTGCTTCAGATCCTCTGTCTCCCTCTCTCTCTGCCCCTCCCCTGCTCATGCTCTCTCTCTCTCTCTCTCTCTCAAAAAGAAAATTTTTTTAAAGAAAAGAAATTTTTAAAAGATAACACCCAAAGTTGGTGAGCAGATTTTTGAAATAGGCACTCTCATTCCAGTCTGGCCAAGTACGTAAATTGGCACCACTTCTGTTTAAATCAATTTGACAGTACACATCAAGACCCTTAAAACGTTTGTTATCCTCTCACCTAGTAATTATACTTATGGGAATTAAGCCTAAGGAAATAATGCAAAACATGTATAAAAGCTTTATGCAGAAAGATGTCATTACTGTATTATTTTAATACACCATAAGAAAGAACAAAAACAGTGGAAACAGCATTGAAATGTATAATACTTCTCTTAAAATATTAATGAAAATCAGAGGCTCCTGGGGGGTTCAGTCGGTTAAGCATCCAATTCTTCATTTTGGCTCAGGTCATGATCTCACAGTTCCTGAGTTCAGGCCCATGTCAGGGGCTCCCTGTCCTCTGTCAGCACAGAGCCTGTTTGGGATTCTCTCTCCCTCTCTCTCTGCCCCGTCCCTGCTTGTACACATGCACACATGCTCTCTTTTTCAAAATAAATAAATAAACTTCAAAAAATATTAATAAAAATCAAATGCAAAACAATATAGTATGATTGTAGATAGAGAGATGATAGATAGATGATAGATAGATAGATAGATAGATAGATAGATAGATAGACCTGTAATATGTATTTGAAAGAAATCACCAAAATGTTATTAGTGGTTGCCTTTGGGTACTGGGATTTGGGATTCAGTCTGAACCATAAGCTCACCTATGGCCTGGAAGACAGGATTGTTGACCATAAAAAGGGAGACATGTTTGCTAAACAACCAACAATGATTAAGGATTGCAGAGTGATGAATCAGGCTCAGCAGCCTTGAAAGATGAAAAATATTTTGCCACGTATGAAGCAGGGACTCCCAATGACACTGGAGGTTAAATATGTCATTTATCACCACCCCTCTAGACACTCCTAAAATTAGCATAAATGGATAAAGCCTGTATTAGACAAAGAGGGATTACAGTAAGAAAATTTTGGAATCTGAAAAACAAACAAGCAAAAGGTAATCTTGCTGCTTTCCCAGGGAGAAGCCAAGAAGCAAGCAGATTCACGTAGCAGGACCCTGGGAAGCCTCTGGAATAGGAGGCACCAGGCACGTCTGAAAGTGGAGGGCTAATGGCCTAAAAAAGGGAAGTTAAATGGGCCAAAAGTCCATACAAAAAGCAGTGAGGCCTCCATAGCTCCTTTCTACCCCAAACCCTGATGCCAGTCATTCCTCCTTTACCCCAGGAGAAACTGGGGGTGCACTCTGGAGAATTTACCCAGAAGGACTAAACCCTGAGAGACCAAGCACAACTAACAGTGCGAGGAATAAGCGAACATAAGTCAGATTAACTGAGATGAGACTCTCTCAGTCCCCTTCCTCCACATAGCTTCCTGAAAGCCAGTAACTCTTCCTTCCTGAGGAAGACCCCACCCAAGAGAAAAGGCCTACAGATACTGATATTTGGGGTCCCCCCATAAAACAGCATATTCTGCACCAGAATATTCTATAGTGAGACTCATTAGGGGGAAAAAACCCTGCTGCACACACACACATTCACGCTCCAATCAACTTCTTAACTTACCACAAATATTAGCAGATGACCAAGAACTACAGACATTTGAGGGAAACCTCTGGCATAAAGGACAGAGATAAGACAAACCAGGAAAAAGGCAGCTGAGAGGAAACTGAACTGATGATGGAAATGGGAGAAATGTTAAAGCCCTGATCAATAGGCTTACTGAGGTAGGAGGAAATATTGCATCTTCAAATAAGAACGAGAGACTATTTTTTAAAAAGTATCCAGAGTTATAGGGTACTAAAAACATATACAATATTTTAAAAACTAAATCATAAGATTAGACGGCAAAGTTTAGGAAAATTTCAGATAGTCCAAAAATAGAGAAGTTAGATGAAAAATAAACTGAAATATGTAGGAAAAGAAGGAGTTCCAGAAAGAGCGACAATGACAGAGCAGGGGGAGGAAATCATGAAATAAATATTAAAGAAAATGTCCCAGAACCAAAGAACATGAATGTATATGCTGAAAGATTCTGGCAAGTGCCCAATCCAACACATCTAACACAGCCACATCAAGGCAGAACATGTGATATTTCACCCTGCTAAAGAGAAAGAGAAGAGCCTAAAAGTTCTGGGGATAGGGGTAGGAATAGGATAGCATAAAAGATCTAGAATAAAAACAGTATAGACTTCTCAGTAGCAACACTGGAAGCCAAGATGCAGTGACATAATACCTTCAAAATGCCGAGGGAAATTTTTTTGCAACCAAGAATTCCATACCCAGCCAAACTATCAGTCAAGAATGAGAGTAGACTAGTGATGTTTTCAGATATGAAAGGTTTATGAATCCTTTCCCAGGAAACTGCCAGAGGATGTGTTTCACTAAAATGAACAGAGAAGAAAAGAAAAGGGAAGACATGGGATCCAAGAAACAGGGAAGCAATGCAGAAAGAAGGGATGTCCAAGAGGACAGTGAAGGAAGATTCCAGTTGACAAGAGACACAGAACATGCCCAGAACCTGCTGGAGCAGGACAGCAGGCTCCAAGAGAAATATCTTCAAAAAGATAAAACCTATGGAATACTCAGTGTTTTAACATATTAGGAGGAGTTCTAATCTAGTTCTGGCAGTGAATTGGGGAATAAATTTAGGACAAGTACATAGAAAACCTCAGCAAACTGAAAAGAGATGTTTATCCTAAAGAAATCTAACAGCATAAAATGTTTTCGACTATAAATAATAGTCAAATAGTTATGAAAATTAAAATTAAATACTTACCTAATGAAAATATCGATATATTGAAAGTGTAGGAAGAAGTAGGAAAGGGTCATGCTGTACAAGAGAGCTAAATCCCTCTCCTTCACAGCAGGAAGTCAAGCAATTAAAAACTAAAATTGAAAAAAAAATCAAGAAATGGTAGTATAAACCTGTGATTTAGAAATAAGGCATATGCCGGGGTGCCTGGGTGGTTCAGTTGGTTAAGAGTATGACTTCGGCTCGGTCATGATCTCACAGCTCATGGGTTCAAGCCCCACGTCAGGATCTGTGCTGACAGCTCAGAGCCTGGAGCCTGGCTCGGATCTTGTGTCTCCCTCTCTCTGACCCTTCCCCAGCTCACACTCCAGCTCCTTCTCCAGCTCCTTCTCCAGCTCACACTCTGTCTCTGTCTCTCCCTCAAAAATAAATAAACATTAAAAAAGTAAAGAAATAAGGCAAATGTCAAAAGTAATAGCCAAGAGTTGAAAGTGAGAAGTGGGAATGGAGGCACGGGACACAGCCTCGGGATGGCTCTTTTTCATAGAAAGACTTATTACATGATACATACATAACTTTGATTTTGCAAATTGAATTTTTTAAATATGGAAAGCACCCATGGTGTGGGACAGGATAGCTGACTCAAGGGTACAGAGCAGGGCAGGGCAGAAAGGCATCCAAGTGGGTTGAGACAGAGGGTCGAGCATCGGAGAGGAAAGAGAACATCACAGGTGATTAAACAGTAGAGTCCTGATCACATCCTTGTTCTTGATCTTGGCCATATTCTTTCTAGAAAGGCCATCAGGCAGAAATGGGACTGGGAGAAATGGACAACAAGGGACCTAGTCGGCTATTCCGTGCCCAGTTCTAGGGAGAATGAAGGAGGCGAGGATGAGGGAGGGTAAGGGTGACAGATGTTTTCCAGGGGACTTGTCACACTCAGTCTCCTGCCTGATGTTAATCAGGGCCTGATAAGGGGTGATGAGGAGGACAGGCTGGGAGAAAAAAGTTCAGTCCTAACCATGGACACCATCCCCAAGGCAGAGTCTCTCTTTTCCATCACCCAACACAAAACTTGTGTGAGTGTGAAGAGCCAAAGGGTAGAGTTAAGAGCTTAAGCTTTGAAGTCTTTGGGTTAAAATACCTAAAAAGAAAGAGTGGTATTAAAAAAGGGGGGGGGGCATGGCCTTCATAACCGGACAGAAGGGCTTGAACCCCAATCACGCCTCTTGAGATCTGCATGACTTCGCACAGCTTTCTTAACCCCTCTGAGTGGCAGAGCGGTCTCCACTCCAAACGTGGCCTCACCACACCCTCCACACAGGGAGCTCCTACCCCTCCTGCGTCCCACCTCCCACCCCCACGCTACCAGGGATGGGGGGGTCTTCTAGAAACACCCTACCAGTATCACTGAGGTATTTGCACTATTTGCTATTTCCCAGACCCCTCAGGCTGTGAGGTCCCAGAAGGTCTCGGGGAGACACCTTCAACCCCCTCCCGTTTGTTCAAGAACAGAGACCACACAGGTTTGCATCAACCAGAAAGTCAGCTTTATTAGCCCACCACCAGCAGAGAGGGAGGGGAGACAGCTGGGGACCGCGCCGGGAGGACAGGGCCCTGGCCCAGGCCTTCAGGAGGTTGGGGCCGGCGGGCTGGCAGGAGACTCTGGAAGAGGCACCTCAGTGCTTGGAGCTCTGGCCTTGGCTGAAGCTGGCTGAGCCCTGCTCCTTGAGGATGGGCCGCACCTGGTGGCCGGAGGTGGATGACGAGGAGGAGGAGAAGACTGTGGGGGAGAGGCGAGGGGGTGAGAAGGGCTCTAGGAGCTAAGAGGCCCCACACAGGGAGAAGGGAGGGCTGGGGGCTCAGGGGCGCCCTGGAGCCTCAGGGGCCTTACCGTTGTGGGAAGAATAGGACTGGCTGGACCCTTGCTGGGAGGAGAGGCTGCGGGGGAGAAAAGGCAGAGCAGTTAGACCTGCCGGAAGCAGCAGGGCTGCAAGGTCTGTAGGCCGGGCTGGGAAAAAGCGCAGTGCACTCACTGGGCGTCCTCGCCCTCCAGCAGGCGGCGGTAGGTGGCGATCTCCTGCTCCAGCCGCGTCTTCACGTCCAGCAGGATCTTGTATTCCTGGTTCTGCTGCTCCATCTCGCAGCGCAGCTGGGCCAGCTGCTCCTCCACGCTGCCGATCAGCCCCTGGATCTGGGCCAGCTGCATGCAGTAGCGGCCTTTGGTCTCCTCCAGGCTGTTCTCCAGGGATGCTTTCTGTGAGTGGGGGAGAGAGAGAGTCAGCAGAGGTGTCATTACCTCCCCCACTGGCCCAGGCCTCTGGGCATGTGGCCTGAGAGCTACATGGATCTTGCTCCCGGCTGGGCTACTGATGGGCCAGACAACGTGGAGAAGTCATTCCATTGTTCTGGGCCTTAATTTCTGTGTCTATGTAATGGGTACAATGGTCCCTCCATCCCCCTCCTGGGAAAAGACAGGCAGGGCTGTATTGTGGCAATGTTGAGGGGCTGGTGGCATTACTGGTGACTTGGGGACTGCGTCTAGGCGGGGTCCTTCGTACCATGCTGAGCTGGGACTGCAGTTCAATTTCCAGGCCCTGGAGCACCCTCCGGAGCTCAGTCACCTCGGTGCGGCCACTCTGCACCAATTCACTGTTTGAAGCCACTTCTTTGCTCAGCTCCTCGGTCTGAGATCAGAGAGAAGAGCAGGTGTGAGGCGCTCTAGAGGTGCCTCCCCCTCCCCCCGGGCTGGGAAGTCCTGCGGGAGACCTGAGCACCTGAGCCCCACCTTGCTCAGGAACCAGGCCTCCGCGTCTCTGCGGTTCTTCTCCGCAATCTGCTCATACTGGTCCCGCATTTCATTCAGGATGCGGCTCAGGTCCACACCGGGGGCGGCGTCCATCTCCACACTGACGTCCCCACCAGTCTGACCCCGCAGGGCGAGCATCTCCTGGGAAGGAATGGCGGGAGGTGGTCAGTTCAGCTGCGCCCCTTCCTGGCCCCTGAACCAGCCTCCCGCTGCCAACACCAGCAGCGACCTCACCTCCTCATGGTTCTTCTTCAGGAAGGCCAGCTCCTCCTTCAGCCCTTCGATCTGCATCTCCAGGTCGGTCCTGGCCAGGGTCAGCTCGTCCAGCACCCGGCGCAGGCCGTTGATGTCCGCCTCGACGCTCTGGCGCAGGGTCAGCTCATGCTCATACCTGGGAGGACAGAGGTTGGGGCATCAGCTCCATCTGCGAGGCTTCTGAGGCTCAAGTTCAACAGCCCCACCACTCGCCCCCTGCCCTCTGCACCACACTCCACCCCCAACAGCGGTTGCTCACTTGGTCCTAAAGTCATCAGCTGCCAGCCTGGCATTGTCAATCTGCAGAATGGGCTGAGCATTCTCAACGGTGGCCGCGATGATCTACAGAGAAGGTAAAGGCACAGGTCTCGTTAGCACAGACCTCGCTGCTCAGGGTGAAGAGCACAGAGGGGAGAATGGGGTGTCCCCAAGCTTGAGGGTTGCTTGGCTGGCAGATCAGGCCCTACACTCCTCCAGCCAGCCTGGGTGTCTTTTGCTTCCGGCTTGGGGTATGTAGAGCGATGCCCCCCAGGCTCCCACCGCCTCATCCTCCGCCCCAGGCTGAGGGAAACTGAGGAAGCAATGCAAAGAACACTTGCAGGGAATAAGACCCAGGGCTCCAGCCACAGCTCAGACAGCTAGACTCTGAAAAGGGACCCTCTGCCACCAATTCTGAGTGGCCTCCGGCTACTCCCCCAGGGTGGGCCTCAGTCTCCCAGTTTGTAAAATAAAGATGCTAGAAAGTGGTTTTCTAAGGGCCACTGAAGCCATGCTCTCTCTCAATCACCAGTGCCACCTGCCCGGCCCGCACACCTTGCTCCTCAGGTCCTCGATGGTCTTGAAGTAGGGGGTGTAGTCCTTGACCTCATTGGGCCGCTGCCTCTGGTACCAGTCGCGGATCTTCGCCTCCAGGTCGGCGTTGGCCTCCTCCAGGGCGCGCACCTTGTCCAGGTAGGAGGCCAGCCGGTCGTTGAGGTTCTGCATGGTGAGCTTCTCGTTGCCGGCGAGGAGGCCGCCATCGCCGCCACCAAAGCCACCAAAGCCTCCGCCAAGGCCGCCTCCAAAGCCAGCACCAAAGCCACCACCGTAGCCTCCCCCGAAGCCGCTACCCAGGGCCCCACCAAAGCTGCTGCCGCTGCTGAAGCCGCCGCCGTAGCCGCCCCCCAGGCCGCAGGCCCCCCCGGAGGAGTAGCGGGAGGACGAGACCGACAGGCCCCCGTAGGCGCTGGGGGCCCGGCAGGACCCTCCAGCCAGGACGGAGGACATGCGGCCGGAGCCGCCCCCGATGCCGCAGGAGCCCTTCATGGAGCTGGAGGAGGTGAACTGGCGGCTGCAGGTGGTCATGGTGCAGGAGGAGGTGAGCGAGCGGTTAGGCAGAGGAGAGAAAGGTGCTGGGGCTCCTCAAACCCCAGGAGCCTTTATATGCACCGGGGAAGGCGGGGCCTCCGACTGCTGACTGAGGGTTCCCCTGCGGATTTCATCACGCCAGGTCCCGTCCGACTCCCCGCTCCGGATCAGGATTATTCAGCCCCGGGGTCGACTCACTTCGCTGGGTGCTGCTCGGAGTTCCCACCCAGCTCCGGGGGTGTGGGGCCGAGAGAAAAACTCACAAACGCCAGTCGGCCGTGACTCAGGCTGGGCGGCGGGAATCCGGCTCTTGTTCCTGGGGCCTAAGGGGCCAGTGGGGCCTTGGCGCAGGCAGTTTTGTGGCGGCTGCGTCCCCAGGCAGTGAGTCAGCCCGCGAAGGACTCCCTGCCTCACGGTGACAGCCTTGGCTGAGAAAGGCTTCACCGATACCAGCCTGGGGCTGCCTCGGGATGTGCTGTGGAGATCCTGCCCGCCTGGCTCCGGACAAGGAGAGCTGGGTTCATGGTCTAACTCTCTGTGTGACCTAAGCCCCTTGCCTCCCCTCTCTGGGCCTCTGTTTCCCCTCAGTAAAGTGACAAGGCTGGACTGGATGATTGTGGAGTCCTTTCTAGTTCTAAGGATTCTTGGGGCGCCTGGGTGGCTCAGTCAGTTAAGCGTCCAACCTCTGCTCAGGTCATGATGTCCCCACCTGTGGGTTCGAGCCCCACGTCAGGCTCTGTGCTGACAGCTCAGAGCCTGGAGCCTGTCTTGGATTCCATGTCTCCCTCTCTCTCTGCCCCTCCTCTGCTTGCACTCTGCCTCTCTCTCTCTCTCTCTCAAAAATAAACATTTAAAAAAATTCTTTTTCATTCTCTGACTCTCTTTCCTTTATTGGATCCAATCCCAGTGTCAGAGGCTGCCTTTGAGTCCCCAGGGTCGTCATAAGTGTTGGGTACCATGGGGCCCACATGTACTATTGAGCCGGGCTCATGTTGGCTTGAATCCCCACTCCACCCCTTACAAGCTATGCAGCATAAGTCACCCTTTAGCCCCCTGGGTCTCAGTTTTCTCATCTGTAAAAGAGGAGAACACACCACAGAGGGACATGCACACAGGACCCCACTGGCCACTCCCTGATGATGGCCCTGCCCCTCAGTACCCCATCCCTCCTTTGCAGCCAGCTGCCCCCTCACCTGCCTCCTCACACCCACCTCTGCCCTCTGACACCTCCCTCCCACAACCCTCCCATTTACCCTCTCCTATTTACCCTCTCCTATTTACCCCAACATGCCCACCCTTTGAGTATTGCTCTACCTAGTCATGGACAGCCATCATGAACCGTGGTGGGGTGGGAGTCCCCATCCTGCCGTGAGCGCCATGTGTGACCCCTGACCCCACCAGGGGCCTCTGAGTCCCCACACTGCACCCAGGGCTCCGTTCCCAGCACATTTCTTCTGAGTGTCCATAGATTGCAGGCTGGGCTAGGCAGCTTCCTTGGTTCAGTTGAGGAGAAGGGGGAGGTGACCTCTCTGGTCACAGCTGCCATGCTCAGGCATTGTATGGAGTGCCCTACGTGTGCCACACAGTCTGTGAGAGGCCATATTCCTGCCACAGGTTCATAGTCGAGGGAGCCGGTAGGTTAAGTGGGCTTCCCAAGACCCCAGTCAATGGGGAGCTGAGATTTGAACCCCCACCTGTCTGCTCACCCAGTCAGAGTCCTTCCACCATCCTGAACCACCCACTCTGCACATCTCCAACGTGCATCACTGTCTTAAATTCACCTTGTGAAGTGGGGAGGAGAGAGGGAGACCCGGAGGGAAGGAGGGATTCGCCCAAAGTCACTCGGCTTTAAGTGACTCTTAAACCCAGGCTCAGGGTGTCTCCACTTGCCCACAGTGCCTTGCAGGCTGGGACCAGGTACGTCCATTCTCATATACCTCCGCACAGTGCCTGGAATGAGCTGCACCCACAGTGGACTTGACCTTGGCCTGAGGGCTGGAGGCAGGATTGGGGGGCTCTGAACCCAAGAGCTGAAGATTCCTTAGGGTGCTCTGGGGGGAGTCGCACAGAACTGGCCAGTGTCCTTGCTCTGGGAGAGGGCTTGCCTCGGCCTGAGTGCTGCTTGGTGATATTACCGGAACCCAGGGACAGGAAATTCTGTCTCAGCATAACCAGGACTTTGCTGTTGCCATGTCGCGCCCCATCAGTCACTCGGCTTGTAGGAACAGGGCCCAGAGGTCTGAGCAGAGCTGGCACCCAACTCACACCTTCAGGGCCAGGCCTGAGAGACAGAACCCAATGTTACTGCTCCCTTCTCCCACGCCAAAAATGGGCAAAGTGGGTCCTGGAATCTTGGACAAAAAACCTTGCCATCCCAGGTGTCAAGACAGGCATGGAGTTCAGGTCCAACCATAGACTCATTACCCCCAGAACTAAAAATGACTCTCTCTGGAGGGCGCCTGGGTGGCTCAGTTGTTTGAATGTCTATCTCTTGCTTTCAGCTCAGGTGATGATCCCGAGGTTGTGGGACTGAATCCCATGTCAGGCTCTGAGCTGAGTGTGGAGCCTGCTTAAGATTCTCTCTCAAAAATAAAATTCTCTCTCTCTTGCCGCAACATAGATAGACCTAGAGAACATTATGCTGATAAGTCAGACTGAGAAAGGAAAGAAAAAAAATTCTTTCTCTCTCTCTCTCTGCACCTCTCCCTTGCTCGCACTTTCTCTCTTTAACAAAAAATAAAAATAAAAATGACCTTTGAGGCCACCAAAGGCCACCAAGCCTCAAGCAGAGAAAGAGAGGGATTGTCCCAGGTTAAACAAAAGCAGAAACTCGAACCCGGCGCCAGCACTGTTCCTGAGATTCACACGGGCTCTCCCTGTGGTCTCTGGGACCTCCTTCTTCTCTGCCTCAGCCCACCCTCCACCACCCTCCCTTCTTTTTTTTATGTTTATTTATTTTTGAGAGAGAGAGAGAGCACACACACAAGTGGGGTGAGGGGCAGAGAGAGAGGGAGACACAGAATCCGAAGCAGGCTCCAGGCTCTGAGCTATCAGCACAGAGCCCGATGCGGGGCTTGAACTCCCGAACCATGAGATCATGACCTGAGCAGAAGCTGGATGCTTAACCGACTGAGTCACGCAGGCGCTCCCACCTCCCTCCCTTCTAACTGGATCCCTGCCCCATCCACCATTCCTAGGGTCAGTGCGGGATTGCACTCAAGCCCAGCACTGATAATTGAGGATCTACAAAGAAGTTACCAACCAACCCATCAAACCACTCGGTCGACACCGAAGACCAAGCACTTACGGTGTGCCCAGCACCCGCACCCGGGGCATGGAGGCTGGGGAAGGTGATGACATAGTTCCTGAACTTGGAACCTATCACTTGGTCCTGGAGAGAAAACTAAGGCCGGGAATAAACACTGCATGGCAGGAAACTCTGGGGTGCTTGGCCCACAGGGTGCAGGGTAAGGGTTACCCACCCTAGGCCTCAGCAGTAAAGGAGGGAGTATCAGGAGAGGCTCCAGCTGGGTCTCAGAAGATCTGACTTGGCAGAGAAGGAGCAAGGGGTGCATTTCTTCCGTGCCAGCGAGGCAAACCTACCCAGGGTTGCTGAGAGCCAGGATCAGCAGGTCTGTGGGCACAGAGCACAGACTCCCACCAAACCGGGACCTCTCCAGGCCATGGGCTCCTTCCCCCACCCAGGCCTCTTTCCTCTCTCCTTCACCTGCCCCGTCTCAGGTAGGGTGAGGTCACCTCATACCTGAGTTGGCCAAGAAATATCATTGGCCAGTGCACGCCTCAACTTGCAGCGATTCCCCAACCTGACTGATCGCCAGGATCCCCGTCCAGATTCCCGACCCTGCTCTGACCCACTGGATCAGCATCGCCCAGGACAAGCCTGATCGTGGGGATGTTTTACAAGCTCATAGGGAATTCTGGTGACCAGCCAGGCTGGAGATGGCCTGGGGGAGGAAGGGAAGGAGGGGAGCCTCTCAAGGAGACTGAGGGGAGAGAGGGGGTTGCGGCAGGGCCCCCAGCCCATCCACGGCGGCAGCGAGAACCACGGGTTCAGGGCAAGGTGAAGAAAGAGAAGATGCCCAGTGAGCCAGGACAGCGGCGTGCGGTCAGGCCATGATGGGGGCAGGGGGCCTGCAGGGAGGGGCAGGCTCCCGGGGAGCGAGCCCGTGTCTCCAGTCCGGGCTCTGGCCGCTCCACTGCTCCCAGGATCTGGATGAATCTGTGAGAGCCCGATGGTAGATGATCCTCCCACTGCCCCGTGTTTCAGGCCCCCCTTCCGAGGGTGGGTGCTGTCACAGCCTGTCACCCTGGTCTGCACAACCAAGGGGCTCTCAGGACACTGTGTGACTAGATCAAGCTCTGTTACAGTCTGAGCCCGAACCACCCTGGCTCCGTTCCCTCTGTTCTCCTCAACCTCGCCCCCACCCACACCACCTAAGGACTGTAGGAGTACTGTCAGCCCCAGCGCTGTGCCCTGCCCTTCACCCCTAAACCGGAGCCCTTCAGGGTCCCTCCAGGCCAGGGCATGTGTCTCCTCCTTCCCCCGGGCCCAGTGCCGAAGAAGCACAGACTGACACTGCGCCACAGTGTTCCTGCCACATTGTCTCCTTGCAGAAAGCACCGCCAGGGCATACTTTCGGGGCGTGGGCATGGCAGAGGAGGAGCCACAGGGGCCGGCTACTGCGGTCCCTGGCCCAGGCCTGGACATCAGGGCCATCGTGTGTGTCCATCACGTGAGAGTGGGTAAGGCGGCACCGAGGGCAGTTACAGACCCGTTCGCTGATAGAGAGTGAAATACTTTGTGCCGGTGGCTGGGGCTGGGGGCGTGGGGGGGCGATGAACTGTGGAGTCCCACAGCTGGGCCGCCCAGTCCAGCCACGGGCACACGTGCCCTGCAGCCTGGGTTGGCTTGGGGGTGCCTAGAAAAAAAGTCCAGCCACCAAACCCCTCAAGAGGACCACAGGTCTCAGCCCCCA